CCCCTTGCCTTGCCTTGCCTTGCCTTGCCTTGCCTTGCCTTGCCTTGCCTTGCCTTGCCTTGCCTTGCCTTGCCTTGCCTTGCCTTGCCTTGCCTTGCCTTGCCTTGCCTTGCCTTGCCGGCCCTGCCTTGCCCTACAGCTTTCTTATGACAGCCAAGCATTTCTGCCTGCGCATCTGCTGGTTGCCGTCCTCTTTTGCTGAGCTGACGAATGTGTTGTTGCCAGCCGCAACGAGCTCTGTTGACGGCCGCCCTTGCGGCCCCAGCCATGTTGCGCGGCCTGCGCCTGCCCGTCAACCCTTGCTGGGTCGCGTTTGACCAGACTTCCAAGGGGCCCCAACGAAAAACCATCACATGACTCTCCACGACTCATCGCATATGCCAAACCGCCGGCGCCTTGCTGCACCCCTGATGTGCGCTACGCCCTTCCTCATGCACAGCACCTCCCCTGCCCTTGCCCTGCCGCTCTTGCACCGATCAAATCCCCTCTCATGAGGCCTCACCAACGCACCGGCAAAATGATGAGTGCTTCTGTTATCCAGCCGTTTGCCTCGGTTGACATTATGCCATGCCCTGATGGATTTGAACGTGCGTCCATGTAGGACGCATCAGGCAGACTTCTTCTGGAGAGATGGTGTTCTGTCGACTGAAACTTGTGCAGCGTGTCCCTGAGATGTTGATGCAAGGATTGTATACTTTGTAATGCATTCCCAGAGAATAGCCTGGGCAGTGAGGCTTCGTAGGCCAAGGCTAGCTGTTGTCGCATCGAAGTTGTGGCAGCCTACCGTACTGCGACTGCAAGTGACGCACAGTCCAAAGCTAGCAAGCCGCCCCAGTACGGTACACTGTGTGCAAGTGAACTTTCACTTTGCAACGCATGCTCAGGCCGTGCCGTTGCAGCCCCTGCTGTGCCGCCTTTGACACGTGTCGGCACTACAAATCGAGGTGAAGGCGCGGCGTCACCGGACATCAGACCAGAAGTGCCTGTTGCTGTAGTCGGATGCCCACGCGCGACTGGTAGTCGTGAAATCTCCCAGCTGTATAAATGCGTCTTACGTCAGTACGCGGAGAAGACTGGCACAGTAGTCGGTGCTGCTAGTGCAGCCACAATCCAATCCACCACTGCACTATCTTAAGATTTTGCCGGCGCGTATCGATCGTTGATGAGACTACCACTACCCCGGGCCCCTGCGCCCGCGGCAGGGGCCAGGCGAACGAGCTTGATTGGGCTTGGGGGCAAGCCACAATGTGCCGTCGCCAGGCCAATACGCAGACTGCGCGCGGCAGCAGAGGTCGAGGAAGTACAAGAAGAGTCTATTGCAGATGCGCAGGTGATGGACTCTCAAGATGAGGAAGCGGCGGCCAGCGCAAAGGTGCGTGCGGCAGCAGAGCGCATCTCCGCTGCTGCTCCACCGCCGAATGCTGCTGGCCGGCATGGCAGGCTGCCATAGCAATGTTGGGCAAACTATGCGGATAATTGGTGAGTTTACGCTGCTGGCGGCTACCCTTGGCCCGACAGCGTGCCGACAGGAAGCGCGACTCAATTACGGTATCCTGGAGCACGATTCCAAACCGTGCACGCACTCGACCGCAACCGCAATGGCCCGCCCCGCAGGCCGAGGCGGCGCAGCTGACCCGCGAGCAGATCGCAAGGGAGGTCAAGCGGCGGCGCAACTTCGCCATCATTTCACATCCAGGTGCGCGGGTGATGCGTGTGACTCCTCGCGTCAGACGCAGCCTGCCATGGGACCATCTGGCGTCGCCCCCCGGGCTCGAGCCGGCCGGGGCAGTTGAGGGCCTCAGGGGGCCAGGAAAGCGGGGCAGAGCGGAGGGCAGTGCATCCATGCCGGCAGAGCTGAGCGGCTCATGCGCATGGCGGCGTGCGCGCGGTTGGGGCCGTTCCCGACCGCCCGGGACGCGGGGCCTCCTCAGAGCAGCCACACCCATGCTGCGTGTGCCCCTGGCGACCGCCGACCAACGCAGATGCTGGGAAGACCACCCTCACCGAGAAGCTGGTGGGTAGTTGGTAAAGCTCTGTCACCCGCAGCGGCTCGCCCCCACATGGCGCAGCACAGCCACAAGCGTCCCCACGCACGCCTGGCAGCATGCGCACATCCCACCTGCTTCCAATCCCTTTTCGGTGCCCGCCCGAGCCTCTACTCCCAGCCGCTGCGGCCTTGCTCGGCCTCATTGCACAGGTCGTCTTCCTGACTGCGCCAATTCCCCATCTCCGCCCCTGCCCCCGCAGCTGCTGTTTGGAGGGGCCATCCACGAGGCGGGGGAGGTCAAGGCGCGCGCCAACCGCCGCTCCGCCACGTCAGACTGGATGGAGCTCGAGAAGGTGGGGGGACAGCCGCCGCTGACGGCGGTTGGCAGTTGGCGGTTGGTGGTAGAACGGCTGGCGGTTGGCGGTGGAGAGGTCGTGTGCGGCGTCCGCCCATGTCAGGCGTCAAGGGGTCAGACAACATCATTCAAAAGCAGGCGGTCTGTGGTCGCGGGAATGCGGCGTCTGGTTCAAACGGGGGGTCAAGGATTGTCGACGCGCAGTGAACGCAGAGGAGGTGCCCGGCATATGCATGTTTCTGGGCACGCCTGTTGTTCGGGCTCCAACATCGCATCCCCTGCCTCGTCCGCCCATCAGGCGCGCGGCATCTCCATTACATCGACGGCCATGACCTTCTCATACTCAGACATGCAGGTGCGCCGCGGCCGGGCTGCTGCCGCTGCCTTGGTTGCAACGAGCCTGCGGCTGCAGGAGCGCCGGCGCCATTGGGGATGAGGTCCATGCAGGCGTTGTCGTGCGCGGCACCGCGGCCGGGCTGCTGCGCTGTTTGGCTCTGCCTGATTGACCGAAGCTGCTTGCGGCCGCAGCTCGCCCGCACCTGTCCAGCACCCACCGCCCCCGCCTGAACCCCCTGCCCCAGATCAACCTGCTGGACACGCCTGGTCACCAGGACTTTTCAGAGGACACTTACAGGTGGCTGCTGCGGCAGCATGTTTTGTTCTGAAGCAAACCACTGCATTTAGCAGAGTAAATGGGTGTTCTGAGCCACGCATTTCTCAAGCGCCTTCCCCATGCATGCAGCCCGCCCCTCCCCTTGCATGAGGTAGCGCTGTTGACGTGCCGGCCGTTCGGCTTCCCCCGGTGACCGGTTGCACGGTGTTTTGACCCTTGCAAACAGGACCCTGGCTGCTGCTGACAACGCGGTGATGCTGGTGGATGGCGCCAAGGGCATTGAGGAGCAGACCCGCAAGCTCTTCGCGGTGGCGCGGCTCAGGGGCCTGCCGATCTTCACGGTGCGAGTTTGACCAAAGTTTGACCGGGATTTGACTGGCCATAACCTGGCATATGACCAGCATTCAGACATGGCCGCACTATTCGTGCTGCCTATCCCAGGCATCGGGTGCCACCCCTGTGCAGCAGAACCAAAACAGGTGTTGACCAGATCAGCGACGTGGGTTACAACTGCATGTGGTTTACCCCTGTCCATCTCGGTAACCTCAACGCAATCTGTGTCACCGCAGGTCGTAAACAAGATGGACCGGCCTGCGCTCAACGGCTTTGAGATCATAGAGCAGCTGGAGAAGGAGTTTGGGCTCGCGTCGTTCCCAGTCACGTGGCCGATCGGATCAGGTGCGTTTTCCAGGGACACAGCCAGGCGGCGGCTGCCCCGCCGAATCTTGCTCGCCCGAACCCACGCCACTGCATTCAGGAGCGCAGAGCAGCTGGCGCGCGTGCATGCGTGCACCGGGTGGCTCAACCCGCGACCGTGCACGCCGCTCCAACCTCTGGTCATACACAAGCACCCCATCGTCCCCCTGCTGAACCGCCGCAGGCGACCGATTCTGCGGCCTCTACCACCGGCCCAGCCGCAAGGTACGCGCGCCGGCCCCGCCGCCGCACTCCCCTCTATCCCTTGCCTCTCGGGCCAGAGGCAAGCGCGGCCAGGCGCGCGACGCTTGCCCTGTGCTGAGGGCTTCCCTGGTGAAGTATCCCCTTCACCCCAAACCATTGTTGTCGACGCGGAATCTGCTGCTCTCGTATTTGTTGTCATCTCCTCAGGTCATCCTGTACAAGAAGGGTCTGAGGGGGCGTGCGGCGACCAAGGAGACGTATGACATCAGCGACCCTGAGCTGGCGGGGCTGGTGGAGGGCGACCTGTACGAGCAGCTGCTGGAGGACGTGGAGCTGCTGGAGGTGGGGGCTGTATGTATTGTATATATACATAAGTTTTCGTATGTATTCATACGTATGTATTCATACATGTATACACATATGCTCGATTTACAGCATAACGCTGTGTTTATGTTTGTATTTTGTGTGCACATGTCTATCATTCTGTCGTCATCTCATGGGTGGAAGTTGCGAGGTGTGCGCGTCATGCATCTTTGTGTGTATGTGTGTGTGTACGTGTGTGCATACATGTGTGTGTATGTGTGTATGTGTGTGTCTGTGTGTGTGCGTGTGCGCGCGCGCTCTCTCTTACGCTTGTAGGGGCTTCATACGCAGCCGGGTGTCCATGTTTGTGGGTTCACACACTGGTCGTCCAAGGCCGGCGAGCCTTCGCCTTTGGTGACCGCCCCTCCCACCATTCCGCCCCCTGCCTCAACATTTCATTCCCCGACCCAGGTCCTGGGGGATGAGCTGGACCAGGCTGAGGTGGCGGCGGGCAACGTCGCCCCCATGTACTTCTGCTCGGCGTTCAACCAGGTGGGTGGGGTGCACACGCGGCGAGCTCCATCAGGGGGCGCTGGGACAGGGGAGCCAGAGGGCGCATGATGCCGTCCACCCCACTTGGGCCGCGCGTCTGCGGCTCCACGCGCTTCTCTTGCTGCGTTTCTCGTTTCACCGCCTTGTCACCCCGATTCCGGCGCGGCAGCGCTCGGCCCAGCCGCGTGCGCACGCCTGATTGCCACCTCCTCGGCCCCCTGCCATCCAACCCTGCAGTTCGGTGTTGACCTGTTTTTGGAGCACTTTACTGCTACTGCGGCGCCCCCCGGGCCCTCCAAAGCCAGGTGCGTGACCGACCTGCAGTTGCTGGCACCAGTACACACGGGGCCCTGCCCTTGCCGTCCCTTGGAGAGCTATAGGGGCGTGAATCTGTGACCATTTCCGGCTGTCAAGCGGGCCGTGTGGGATGCAGAGATGGGGAGCAGAAAGCTGTTTGTAGCTTTCATGCTTGCCAGTCGGGCCGGCAGGCACGGCTGTGGGCTCATTTGCGAGGCGCATTTTTGCAAGTGCCCTGCTCATCAACAACTCCCTTGCCTGCATCAACGTAATCAACACTCCGCGCGACCTCACCGCACCAGGGGCAACATCGCTGCCCTTGTCAGCTCAGAGGACGAGGAGGAGTCTCCAGCAGCGGGCAGCGGCGGCAGCACAGGCAGCGGCAACGCAGAAGGACTCGTCGTGCCGGACGCGCCTCACTTCACCGGGTGTGTGGCGAGAGGGACACGTCGGGGTCGGCGTGTTGCGCGTGCACGTGCGTGGTGTTTCATGGATGTGTTGTGTAATGTTTTACGTGTCCAGTGTATGTGCGTCTGAGGTGCTTGCATACATTTACACAGATGTGTGGGGGTGCATGTGCGCACGTGCACGCGTGCGACGAGGCTGGTTACAGGGCCCTGCGGCTGCCCGGGCTCGCCGCGCCACGCATGCTCGTGTTTGTGCATCGGCCTGGACCACTTCACCACCCATCTCCACCCCTAAGAAACTCATGCCTTGACCGCGTGCGGTACACCACACCCGCGATCGCCCCCCGCTTCACCTTCCTCAGCCTCGTCTTCAAGCTGCAGTCCAACATGGACCCCCGCCACCGCGACAAGGTGCGCCCAGGGTTCAGGGTTCAGGGCCGGCAGTCGCTGGCCCTGGCTCGCTCAGACCGCTACCTGGCTTCTGCCGCAGCCCTCTCGTCGATCCCATCACCCGCCAGCAGATGCAAAAAAGCCCCACACAAGTCCAATCGCCCCAGCAACCACCTCGCTCAATGGCGAACCGGCCCCCCCAGCACATCCGTCCCACACACCCAACCAGCATCACAACACGTCCCGCCCCACCACCACCACAACACGCGCGCCCACCATGCACCCTCCCCTGCCCCTCTCCTTCCCTTCCCTCAAAGGTCGCCTTTGTGCGCGTCGTCAGTGGCAAGTTCTCAAAGGGCATGAAGGTCAAGGTCGCCCGCACAGGCCGCACCGTCGCGCTGTCGCGCCCGCAGCGCATGTTTGCCCAGGACCGCTCCACCGTGCAGGAGGGCTTCGCCGGTGACGTCATCGGCCTCAGCAACCCGGGGGCGTTTGCCGTCGGGGACACCGTGTTTGCTGGTGAGGGGAAGGGCGGCTGCCGCTGCTGCTGCTGCTGCGGCTGCCGCTGCCGCTGCCGCTGCTGCCGCTGCCGCCGCTGCCGCTGCCGCTGCCGCTGCTGCTGCTGCTGCCGCTGCCGCTGCCGCTGCCGCTGCCGCTGCTGCGGCTGCCGCTGCCGCTGCCGCTGCTGCCGCTGCCGCCGCTGCTGCTGCCGCTGCCGCTGCTGCTGCTGCTG